AACAGAACGTAGTTCTGGTTTTTGCTCTTGTTCTCCAAGAATGTCCCCTTTCACGTGACTGATTCCATCAATTTGACAGTCATCTATGCTGACCGATTCACAGGAAATATTCTCTAAAGGCACCCGTTTGGGCATCCACATGAGGTACTGGAGCCGACCTCGTTCCTCGGTCGGGCGAGAGTCTCGAGTACAAATTGGTGGGGTCCGAAGGTTTCTTACACATTTTCTTTGCTTGTTTCGACAAAAATCATTGCTCAGGCATTCGGCAGAATCGGCACGCTCGGCATCATCGGCAAGTGGATCGAAAAATGAGTCCCTGGCCGCCTTTCTCTCCTCCAAGGTAATTTTGAAAATATGGCTCTTATGCTCTGAGTAAATATCTGCACATGATACTCCAAGAGGATATTACCCTTATGTTTTTTGTTCATTGCCGCAATGCCGCATCCGCTGAAACTAACCCGCCCTTGCCAAACGAAAGAAAGCTAGCAGGATTTATTGGCATAATTGGCCTTGCTAATCCTCGTATTCTGAGTACAACCAATTCTGAGTTCTGTTTTTGCCCCGCCGCTTGCCGGCCTCTACCAATCATGTGGTAAGGTAGCGGACAGGCAAGTATGGTTATGCCACGTGACATGACCATATTGAGCGATTTTGAGCTTTCGTTGAGTTGCACAAAGGAATTAGTAAATCCACGACCATAAGTTTCTGTGAATCGGTTCTAAGACACCTCTCAAATACTTTGATAAATTCTAGCAAGAAAGTGGAGGACTAGTTCCAGATTTGATGAGAAACTGGAACGATCAATTCGACATCAATTCACAACGTTGTGCAGAAGATTTGGAACTAGTGCCTCATTTCCGCACTGAAACTCCCGAAAATATTTGGGAGATATCTTAAGATATATTCACACAGAACTGTGCTGGAGGATTTGCGGTTTCCGTCCTCCGAAAGGCTGAATTCAGGAAAAGTACTAAGGCTTCCCAAAAAGGTGATAGGTCACGTGGGGTAACCATATCTGTCTGTCCGCTATGATTGGTAGTGGCCGGCAAGCGGCGGGGCAAAAATAGAACTCGGTATTGTCAATACCGTATTGACGTAGTTTCCAATTCCTGTTCTGTCCCGGTGTCCCGCCGTTTTTGTTTTCAAAAGAAATTATTAAGTTTCAACTTTTGGCGCATTTGGCGTCTCAACGCAAAGTGTGTCCATTTCCGATTTCACCCTGCGACAGGTCGACTTGTTTCATCTTGCCGGCGGTGCTGGACGGGTGTTAGGCGGCGATCTTTTGATATAAAGACTCGAGTTCTTGGTCTATTTGAGACAATACAATAGGGGAATTGGAAAATGCAAACCAACAGTCAGTGCTTTCTTGGTGCTTTCACTGTCAAATTCCTTTGGATTTTTGTAGACTGGATATTTGGCGGTGCGGAAATCGAAAAAATCGCCTAGAAAGAGAGGATTGTAGAGGGTTTAGAGAGGCTCTTGAGCTTCCAAGATCTGTTCACCGTTCGCTCTGATCCCTTGATGGGCAGGCCTGATGTGCCTGTAAATAAGGCGCCGGAAGCCTCTCGGAATATTGAGAAACCATACTGTGTGATGTCAGGAATGTCTAAGGATGCTGCTATCAATTTTAGCAACAACACTTTGAGTATGCTGCGCTTTTTGACCTGATGCATTATTACAGAAGTGAACACAGGTGAAGAGGAGCTTACTAGAATCCCTGAGAACATAGCTGAATGGAAGGCTCTTGCTATCTGCTCCATTTCACCCTATTGCACAATGCGACCTCCAATTTACAGTATTTGAAGCCAAAGAAGAAGTTGGCGTGATTTTTTCCGCTTTGGTGCAGGGAGAGCTGTAGAAATTTTGGAAGCTAAGCTGAGGCACGAACTTACCTCTCCAGTACCTTTCTAGAGAGAGAGCTTTCCCTTTGAAAAGACCTTACCGTATGCGCGCGACGCAAGGTCGCGATTGATGCCTGTGGCAACCGTGTGAACTTATGTTATGCTATGTGCCGCTAACGAATCTCGCACCGGAGTGGACTCTTTTTTTTGGTGCTATTTCCTTCCTCTCGACTGAAATTAGTCTGTCAAATATTTCTGTGAATTAAGGCTAGCTAAACAAGGGTCAGCAGAAGATGGCACATAACTTGTACAGCCAACAACCCAGCGGACCGGGCGGTAAACCGAATGATGGTATCAAAGATGACGTAGAGGTAACTGGTCACGTTTTTAGCGGACATTCTTGGAGGTGTAAGGTAGGCGCCATCCGCATCCATCGAGTCACGTGGTGTCACTGCGTGACGCGCCTTCCCGCCCCTACTAGTCGGGGGCATCGGGTATAAAAAATAATCCTCAACCGAAGAAATGCTTGTTTTGAGCAAGGGAACAATCCCTCGGTCTCGGAAATCCAACTTATGTTCCCAATAAAAAGTTTTATACACATTTTTCTTGAAATGCCGCAAATGAGAGACCAGCAGTCCTGGCATTGGTTTCAATTTTTGAGTCGAAAATTTGGCGCGTCCTAAAAGGGCAATTCCCACGTCCACGTGACCGGGCCGATGATCTCCGTTCGCGCTTAAACCATGTTTTACCGCGGAAATTAGCAGCCAAGACTCCATTCCAAGGTGGTAAACGTTCTGTGTGTGATCAAAGCAACCTATTTCAACCATTCCGGGACTTTAGAATATGAAATCTGTGTTGCGCAGCTACTGCAAGCAGCTGCATTCAGTGTGCAGGTATTGAAGTGTGAAGAAATTATGATGTCAAGAATGGTTTAGTGATACAGACCATCCTATATTCCCAGCTTTCAACATTTCTCCCATCATCCAAAAAAGTACTCGGTGCATGGTCAGCCGAGAAGCCCCAACAAATAAAACATCACTGAACCAGAAGTCCTTTTCTGAAGATTAGAGGGTCTGTTCAACTAGAGGAACCACCAGCTTGAGGTGGTATTTTTTCCCTCTGCCTGGCAACCCTCCCACGGCGGATTTCTTTTTTTTTGGTTTCGAAAATTCAAAATTCGGCGCTTTCCCACGTTACTGTAACGCGTTACATCACGTTCACGTGACTCGACGGATGCGGATGGCGCCTACCTTAGAGCAAAACTAGAACTACGTTCTATTTTTGAATGATTGGAAGTTGCCGGCAAGCGGCGGGCACAAACAGTTTTGGAGCGATGGTCAGTGTTACGTTCGGTGGGTGTTTTTTGGTTAAACAACGGAAGTGCTTGTGCCAAGATACATAGAAATCACATTCGCCTGATTGGGGCGAGCATTGATGGCAACAAATGTAGCGGTTGAGGATAGGTTAAGTAAACAAAGGTGTGCAGAATATTAATTTGGTGGTCCCAGGACCCTTGGTTGGGTATCTTTTTCAGGATATATCCAGGGAGTTTTGAACTGTCGCTTATTTTGATGAGTTCTTCGAGAATGGCCGCTTGTAGGTCAGCGTCATGACCAAATGGTCACGTTTTATGCACCGGCACGTGAGTGTTTTGGCGACATTCTTGGTCTCTAGAGCACAAAAGAACTAAAGTTCTGTTTGTGAACCTAACCCCGCCATTCCAAGGGTGATCGCAAATCGGTCAGGAGACCGATTAAAACCGAACATGCCGGCCGGCGAAACCCTCGGCAATCTGAGGCCATTTCTGCGGGAATGAAACCCTTGGAGTGACCGATTTTTCCCGCTACCTAACCCCGCCATTCCAAGGGTGATCGCAAATCGGTCAGGAGACCGATTAAAACCGAACATGCCGGCCGGCGAAACCCTCGGCAATCTGAGGCCATTTCTGCGGGAATGAAACCCTTGGAGTGACCGATTTTTCCAGCCAAGATGACTCAACCCGGCCATCTCCTATCCGTGATTTGTTCCTCCATCTTCTATCCCGCCACGTACATCGACATGCGCAGTCCGCGGGGTAACTGCTATCTGCGGGCGCTGTAAACGGTAACAGCACTACACGGCGGTTTTTGTTACTCGATCGCAATTGGTAACGAGTCGCGGCGTTAAAAGTGGGGCATTTTTGTTATCTGACCCTGGGGTAGTCAAGTGCCGTTCACGGCAAGTGCGACGCCAGTGTAGATTATCGCTTGCCCTCAGGCTTTTCTTCATTGGAGCTCGCAACGGAGGTATGAGACAATTATTCAACTCCTTCGCGCCTACGCGGTGAATCCTCGGTTAGACCGCCTCCCGCAGGAACGTCATAAATGTACACATTCGAATCCTACGATTTCGTCCCGGATCGACGTCAACGCAATGCATGTTCCACCCGACATCTAAGGCGGATATTGCATTTTTTTGGCAATTTTGGCTAGAAGCCTCTCTACTCTCAGTGCGTGACACATCCTATCAAGCCCGCATGGATCAGTGGTTAGATCGCCTTCTAAACTTAGGAAATTTGATATTCGCATATTTATGTAGGAGACGGAGGTTCGATCCCTCCTGCGGGCACGATGTTGTCAATGATTAGTTTTCCCCCAAAAAAGTCTTGTCCTCTTTCTTTCTTGTTTTTTTTTGGTTAAATAGGTTCCGCTAGGACCACTGCCTGCATCGAGGCTCTAAACAACCCATCTCCAGACTCCAGCTCCACCATCCACATTGGCACCGGTTGACAGTGGTTGTTTCCATTAAACCTAGTCCTAAATCTTTCTCATCTGCACACTACCACACACACAAGTGATTTAATATTGCTTTGCCTCTAGGCAGGGAACTGTGGCCATACTCCCAAAGCCCGCATAGATCAACGAGATCGCCTGTCAAACTTTCTCAATTGGTTTGTAACTTATACAGGAGATAGAGGTTCGAACTCTCCTGCGGGCATGAATAGGTTGTATCGACCTTTTTCTGCACCTTGACGAGCAATCGAGCAATACCAATACTAGTACTTCCTTTTGGTAGTCGTCAATTCTTTCTCGTCTGCACTCACACACCGACGTGACTATTGTATTTTCGGCAATTTTTAGCTGAAGCCTCTCCACTCTCAGCGCGTGGCGAAGCTCTCAAGCCCGCATAGATCAATTAGCTACATCGCCTTGCGCAAAATTTCGGGAAAGAATTGCCAAAGCTTATGCAGGAGACGGAGGCTCGAATCCTCCTGTGGGCATGGGTTGATCGGTAACCTTTTTTCCCGAAAAACAATAATGTTGTCCTCTTGCGTTTCACCACGCTCTTTCTTTCTCTTTCTTTCTTCTTTCGAATAGGTTACATTGCGGTACATACCACTGCCTGCATCGAGGCTCTAAACAACTCATCTCCAGCTGTACGTTGGCACTCGTTGTCTCCATTAAACTTGGTTCTTTCTCATCTGCTATCATCTGCACACACGCTACCACACACAGTCATTTAATTGCTTTTGCCTCTAGGTATGGAATGACAACCATCCCCTGAACACCTGCATAGATCAACGAGATCACCTGTCCAGCTTTAAGTGATTTGCTCGTTCAAGTTTGTATACAGGAGACGGAGGTTCGAATCCTCCTGCGGGAATGCTTGATACTTGCTGTTCTTTTTGGGCATATATTTCTCCCTGTTTTGATTTTTTTGCAATTGTCAAATTCTCGTTCCCCGCCCTTTCTAGATTCGGAAACATGTTACGATGGAATCCGTACCCAAACGGGTGGCATCAAACCCCGGACGAGTCCAGTCCTCCTACCAGCTTCGAATTTTGCCGCACTCTTGTGATGACTGCATAGCGGCAGGTAGCGGATCCTGAACCACACATCAGAACACCTGCATAGATCAACGTTAGATCACCTCTGAACTTTACGTCTGTCCATGTTGACAATGAGGAAATGGAGGTTCGAATCCTCCTGCGGGCATGGACCAGGCTATCCATTTTTCTTTCTTTTACGCCTGTCCTTGGTTTTCATCAAAGCCTTATAGATTCATGGGTCTGTACTTTAGCGGGCAGTGATCAAACCCTGTCGCCTGCCAGCTATTAAACCCTGCGCCTTACGGCTGAAAATGTGCCCCTCCTGGAGTCCTACCAGCTCGTGACATAGTTCCGAATCACCAGTACTCACCAAGCCTACATAGATCAGTGCTAGATCATCTCTCCATGATTGGCGCGTACATTCATTCCGATACTGAGAAGGCGGAGGTTCGAATCCTCCTGCGGGCATGAGCCAGGAATAATTCTGTTTTTTTTACACTTGTCCTTGATTTTCGCCACTGTTTGGTTCTTGCAATTATAAGAGTGTTATAGATTCCGTAACAACACCTGGCCCCTGGGTCTGTACTTCAGCGGGCAGCAATCAAACCCCGCGCTGTATGGCTGCCATTATTGTTGTCTGAAAATGTGTCCCCTCCTACCCCTTTATGGCATAATTCCAAATCACCAGTACTCACCAAGCCCGTATAGATCAATGTTAGATCATCTCTCCACAATTATTGGGACATTCATTCCGATACTGAGAAGGCGGAGGTTCAAATCCTCCTGCGGGTATAGGGAGCAGTATATTGGTTTTTTTACTTATTCCTAGTTTTTCGCCAGTGTTTGGGTTTTTCTAAGTCCATGGGCCTGCACTTCCGCGGGCAGTGATCAAATTGTTATTGCCTCGCAGCCATTAAACCCCGTGCCCTACAGCCTGAAACTGTGTCCCCTCCTACCAGGCTACCAGCTCGTGGCATAATTCCAAACCACCAGTACTCACAAAGCCCGTATAGATCAACACTAGATCATCTCTTCACAATTATCGGCGCGTACATTCAGTCTGATACGGAGAAGACGGAGGTTCAAATCCTCCTGCGGGCATAAGGACAATAACGGTGATTTTTTTGCGTTTCTTTTCCATTCTTCGAGGTCACTCCCAAGTCTCCCTACACACCCTGAACTCAACTTGACTAACAACACCAGCCCTTCCGAGTCGAAGGCTCAATTATCACTGTGCCTCAAACAAACAGTTTAACGAGTTCCCTGCACACCTTTGTAGGATAATTCCAAACCACCAGCACCCACCAAGCCCCCATAGATCAATGCTAGATCATCTCTCCACAATATCATCTCATTGAGCTGATACCGAGAAGACGGAGGTTCAAATCCTCCTGCGGGCATACGGGATGAACTTACATTTTTTTGTTTGTGTTTCTTTTCCAGTCACACAGAGCTCCACTACACGCCCTGAACTTGATTTGGCTACCAACACCAACCATTGCAAGCCCGTATAGATCAACGCTAGATCATCTCTTCCCAATACTGTGGTTGAAATCAATCGATACTGAGAAGACGGAGGTTCGAATCCTCCTGCGGGCATGGGAAAGAGAATGTCATTTTGTCATTTTGCACCTGTCCTTGATTTTTACCAGTGTTTGCTTTTTGTGGGAGCCTCATAGATTCCGCAACGATTGCAATCCCTGGGTCTGTATTCAGCGGGCAGCGATCAAACCCCGCGCCCTCTGGCTGCCATTGTGGTTTGAAAATGTGTCTCCTCCTACCAGCTCGTGGCATAATTCCAAACCACCAGTACACACCAGGCCCGCATAGATCAGTGCTAGATCATCTCTTCACATTATGATGGGTGCATCCGTTCCTGAGAAGATGGAGGTTCAAGTCCTCCTGGGGGCATAAGGGTTGGTGAACCGTGACTTTTTGTGTTTCTTTTCCATTTTTAGAGCTCACTCCCAAGCCTCCCTACACACCCTGAACTCGATTTGGCTACCAACAACAGCCCTTCTGAGTCGAAAGTTCAACTATCACTGCTCCTAAATGTCATGATCAGGCACGGATCACTCGGCACCCTTCGGCGCGAGCTGCCTTTTCATTCCCGACTTCGAACTTCAGCAAATCATCCTTCGCTTCCACTCAGGATATGCCTCTCAACATCGACTTCAACATGACAGTATAATCCTCGCGTTGCCACAGGCAGTCAAGGCTCGCATTATCACGACACCCCGAGGACGAACGGTTAGGTCCGGGGTTTGACATTCGGGTCTGCCCGGGGTTCGACTTAGGGTCTCCTCCGGGTCAGACAACACTCCTTTGCGTCCGACAACAGGATCATATACAATGATCGACTCCTTTCCGTTGGCAACACATCGATCGTAGGCGACAGGTATCAACCCCTTGGTGTCGCCTTGGCACACTCCTTTATGCTCAAAGGCCCTGAATTACCCCTTGGTGTCAGGGCAACAGTTGTTCCTATGATCGGACCCCTTTACAATACAGTATATAAGTAATAGTAGAATCTCCTGTACAGTAGATTCTACCTCGTCTATACTCCGGCCTTAGGATTGGCCTGTTCTGGACTTGTGTGTGACTGAGCCCGTCTGGCTTCAGTCTCTCTCATTGACTCGGGTTCTGCCTCCTTGTGCTCATCGTCGGCAAACCCCAGTCTCCTATCCTCCACTCCTTGGTCAGCGCTTCGACATCGGTTATCAGCAGGAGCTCTCGTAGGTGGTTATCGGTCTGGGTCCTCGCGGAGGATAGAACCACTATGATCTCCAACGCTCGCGATAACGCTGGTACCACTCGCTTGGAAGTCGAGTTATGTCCAACACTATCTCATCGGACATCCCCTACCCTGGATCCTATTCCCCTGTGCTGGTGAACCTCGATATTCGAACCCCGGGGGTTCAGACCCCGGTCTCGGTGACATGTTGTCACACTCGCCACGGGTTCTTCTCACGGTTCGACTTCACCTTGCATGGATCCTTGGTGGAAGGTCATGCACTATTCAATGGGATGACAGACTCCCTCTCAATACCCTGCCAGGACGACCTCGGGTCGTGATGGCTCCGGCGATCAGGCTGAGCTAAGTGCCGTCGCTGACACTAAACAAACATTTTGACGAATCCACTCTCACCTGCTCTTAGCCTTGTGGGATAATTTCAAACCACCACCACCCACCAAGCCCGCATAGATCAACACTAGATCATCTCTCCACAATACATTGCAACATTCGGCCTGGTACCGAGAAGTAGGAGGTTCGAATCCTCCTGTGGGCATGAGGAGACAGATGTGTTTTTTTCTTCTTTGCATTTGTCGTTGGTTTTTGTAAGAGCCTCGTAGAGTCCACAACAATTGCAATCCCTGGGTCTGTATTCAGCGGGCAGCGATCAAAACCCGCGCCTACGGCTACCATTGTCATCTGTAAATGTGTCCCATCCTACCAGCTCATGGCATAATTCCAAATCACCAGCACTCACAAAGCCCGCATAGATCAATGCCAGATCATCTCTCCACAATTATTGGTACATTTAGTCTGATACCGAGAAGACGGAGGTTCGAATCCTCCTGTGGGCATAGGAAAGGTCATTGGGAACCTTTGATTTTTTGTGTTTCCATTCCGTTCTTAAAGCTCACTCCCAAGCCTCCCTACTACACCTGAACTTGACTTGGCTAACAACACCAGCCCTAATTCCGAGTCGAAAGCTGTGGTTCAAGAGTTCTCACTTTCACTGTGCCTAAACAAAAACATTTCAACGAGTTCACTCTCACCTGCTCTTAGCCTTGTGGGATACTTAATTCCAAACCACCAGTACCCCAACTACAAGCCCACATAGATCAATGCTAGATCATCTCTCCACAATATGGTTCTCGTTCAGTCTGATACTGAGAGTGAATCAGAGAAGATGGAGGTTCGAATCCTCCTGTGGGCAAGAACGAGGCTATCCATTTTTTTCCTCTTTTGCACTTGTCCTTGGTTTTCACCAGTGTTATGTAAGAGCCTCATAGGTTCCACAACAATTGCAATTCCTGGGCCTGTACTTCAATGGGCAGTGATCAAACCCCGTGCCCTCCGGCTGCGATTGTGGTTTGAAAATGTGTCTCCTCCTACCGGTTCTTGGCATAATTCCAAATCACCAGCACTCAACAAGCCCGTATAGATCAATGCTAGATCATCTCTTCACAATATATTGGCAACCATTCACTCTGACACCGAGAAGACAGAGGTTCAAATCCTCCTGCGGGCATGTGCATTGTGAAACTTGGCCTTTTGTATTTCTTTCCCGTTCTTAGAGCTCCCTCCCAAGCCTCCCTACACACCCTGAACTGGACTTGGTGAACAACACCAGCCGTTCCAAGTCAACTATCACTGTTCCTAAACAAACATTTTAGCGAATCCACTCTCACCTGCTCTTAGCCTTGTGGAATACTTAATTCCAGACCACCAGTACTCCCAATTACAAGCCCGTATAGATCAATGCTAGATCATCTCAGTATTATTGGTGCGTACAAGGTTTGCTACTGAGAAGACGGAGGTTCGAATCCTCCTGCGGGTATAAAATAAATGCTGAATTTTTTTGCATTTGGTGTTTCTTCGAGCTCACTCCTTCCACACCCACAATTGCACACTGAACTCAACTTGGCTAACAGTCCTTGCAAGTTGAAAGCTCAGTCAAGAGTTTCTCGCTATCACTGTGCCTAAACAAATACAGTTTAATGAGTCCCCTCCTGCATACCCTTGTAGAATAATTCCAACCAGCACCACCTACCAAGCCCGCATAGATCGATGCTGGATCATCTCTTCACAATACATTGCACTTATGCGGTCTGACACCGAGAAGACAGAGGTTCAAATCCTCCTGCGGTATGGCAGTCACTTTGTACATTTATTATTCTGGATACTTTTCCCACTTTTCGGTCTTTTCTCTGTGTTTCCCACTTTCCATACTTTTTTTTTGGTGTCCATCCTGCTGTCCTTTTTGTTTCCATTCGAGCACATTACTGTTGTTTCTGTCAGGTGATGTGATGCGACCTGCAAAACTAAGGTGTCCGTGGGTCCGCGTCCGCGCGGGGCACGGGTCGAGAGCGCCGCAGCTCGAGCGCAAGGCTCCGCGCAGGCGCTCTCTGTCTCTCTTGATGATAGTGGGCGGCCGAAGCCCACACTGGAACAGGAAGCAGCTCGCAGTCGCACTGAGTGCCGCCGCGCTTCCTGAATCCCGTTGTGACCCTTCGGGAGGCTCTCTTGAGGAGCCAGGGAAGTAGTTATACGCTTGCTTAGGCGATACGGCAGCGTAGGGTTAAGCAAGCGGTAGTCGCACCATGGCCCCGGCCAGATCTTGAGTTCTTCAAGGGATGGTCGTGGGGGTTTGGGTGCAAAAGATATATATCCGTCTCACGCCGTCACCACGCATCACGTGGTGCTGTCGCGAGACGCGTCTACAGTAAATACAAGTAAATAGAACGTAAAATATACAATAACCGTGTAAGTAAATAAGGGCCGTGGGCCTGCGATAAGTGTACGTATATTAGTTGCGTCACAGAGCCCCCCCAGGCCAAGGCACTTTATTGAAAATCCCGCTATGCTTCGTCATCTCGTTATGAGGGTGGTGGGTGGAACCCAATCTACACTTCGTCTTCTCATAACGAGGCTGGGGGAAAAATTTCAATGACCTCGTCCTCTCCCTCGTCCACGATTGTGGCTTCCCGCCCTTCTTCCCCGTTTCTTCCGTCCTTCGGGCAAGATCTCACCCTCTTCCAACTCGCGGATCCGCTCTTCCAGCGACAAATTTACTCTGCGCGCTAAGATAGGCGCCGGTATAACTGGTGAAGCACTCGGTGCGGGCGTGGCGCCACTTTGACTTGCAGTGTTTGACGTGGTAGCGACACCAGTTAGGCGAGCCGCGAGGGGTAAGACCGGTGCCACCGGAGCAGTGAGTCTCTCGGCGAGCGGCAGAGGCAGAGCTGGCGGAGCCTGTAGGCGATGTAAAAGTGGCACCGCCGGAAGAGGCTCGTTCTCGCGGATGCGTTCTAGCAAAGGCCGTACTCGCGGTCCTGTTGGCACCGAGGGTGGAGGGATCGCGGCGAGCGGAACCGCTGGCAGCGAAGGTAACCACTAGCTTTGCTACATCAGCTAACGTGGCTCCTGCAGTTGGAGGCGGCGGAGGAGCTCCATCGTCAGACGAAGGAGAGGTAGAACGACTCCTGGAACGAGTTCGCGACCGTCGTCTCCTCCTTTCGTAGGACCGGGAACGAGAACGATAGCGGAAGCGTGAACGCGATCTTGAACGGCGGCGATACTTCGGCGAGCTCGAGCGGCTGCGAGGCCCAGGCGAGCGAGAGCGCGTCTGTTGACGGCGCGAGGAGTACTTCCGCTCCGAGGAACGGTGGTGGGGCCCGGACCGAGGTGACCTGGAGCGCCAGTACCGCCGCGGTGAGGGGGACCGGCGTCGTCGCACGGGAGAAGGAGAACGACACGAGTCGAATCGACGCCTCACAGGAGACCTGGGCGAACGGCGAGCAGGGGACAGAGGACACCGAGAGTCGAGATGGCGCCCGGAAGACGTGCTGGGCGATCGTCGAGGCAGCCAGCGCTGCTCGTCCAAAGGACGCCGCGCAGGAGCCACCGCAGACAAGGCAGGAGAACGCAGTTCGTTTCCGAATTGGGAGACGTAAGAAGGGCGGGTGTAAGGTACCCAGTGCTGAAAGTTGTCCAGTTTCTCGGGCGCTTCGGTTTCAGACGTTCGCGCTTCAGCAGCAGGCACGTCCTCCGCTAAGCCCGGGTGCCAGATAGCATCGGTGTATTTCGCCGCGTCTTCGAACTCCTCGACCGTCACAAATTCGATCTCCACTTCACTTCCTTCCTTCAAACTCCAGAGCTCCACCTAGTAGCAAGGATCTCGCTGCTTCGACTTGCCCAGAATGCGAAAAGCTGACCCACATGGAGCGTTGAGCGTCAAGGACGGCGTTCACTTCGCCAACTCCCGCTTCTTTGAAGACTGCGCCAAGAAGCCGTGCAAGTTGTAGCACGCCCACTCCGTCCTGTAATCCTCGAATTCGCAAAACGCTGATGGGGGGATCCTCCTCCCCGTCGCTTGCTGGCCCCAGCGACACAGCGTCTACATCCCGGTCGACCTCCTCATTCATTTGCTTCCTCTTCCCTTTCTCCAGTTGCGTTGCAGTTACAGGGGGAGGATCGACTTGCATCTTTTCGTTCGAGCTCGTAGAGGAAGGAGGTGGAGGAGCGGAGTAGGATGGTTCTTCGCCCGTTGGCCCCCCAGGCGCAATGGGCGGGAGCGTATCGAAATCCAGGTCGACGTCGTCCTCATCATCGATGTCCATCGCGGGCGGGGTCGGAGACGAATGGAGAAGAGGCAGCTCGTCGGGCGGAGGGGTAGCAGGAACCATACCGATCAAGGAGCGGGGCGGGTCGCGGGCGGCGTAAACCCAATATGAGGGTCCACGAGGTTTGACTCCATCGTTAGTCCTTTCCCAGTAGCCAATCCTCGGTGCAGGCCATCCGAACTGGTCCGCGCGCACAACCCCGCGCTGCTCGACTCGATTTGGCCGCAGATAAAGCTCCCTGCGTTTCTCTCGGTCATACCGCACCATAAGAGGCTTGTCGGTTCTCCACGAAAGAGCCCGCTTAACGATACGCAACTCCACATCCTCTCCTTCCGAGTCGGAACACTCCTCCCACTTCTCCCATTTTCCTTTCCCCTTCAACTCCTCGACTCGCGGCGGTCGAACCCACTGGTGTCGCCCAGCAGCGACATCTACTAGCTCCAGCGGTCGGGGCATGTACCTGGGATCCCAGCAGAGTTCCGTCGGCAGCTCGGTCCCAGAGACCCGCGCCTTTGAATAAATTTCCAAGAAGAGGGAGGAAGAGAATCGGGCATCGTTGTCCTGAACCGTGTGGTCGACCCCGAGCCCAAGGTTCGTCACTTTGTTGGTGATGGGCAAGGAAAGGCGGCTTTCTAAGTGCTCGAAGCCGTTGGAGGAGGCGCCCAAAAGATCCACTAGTTCCGTGCCGTCCACGAAGTTAGAGAATGCGGAGGAGTGAGTGGAAGTGCGCCGGCGTAGTTCGTGCGGGTGGTAGGCGTGAGCGAAGAAGACTGGAATTCCGACGGCGAGGAGCCAGAGACCGAAGGATTCGGTCGCGTAGTTGACGAAGGCTCCCATGTATTTGTCCGTCGCTGCAGGGTATTCTGAGGAGCGCATCTCCGCTAGCTCGAACTGCGCGCCTGCCATCGTTTCGACCATCGCGATCCAGGCTTCTTTGGAGCGTAGCTGTCGCTGAACGATGGCTACGTTGTCCACCTGCGACTTCGTACACTCGACAATCGGCGAGACCGCTCAGGAAGGAAGCTATTTGGTCTGCTGGGCGCGAATTCCAGTCGCTGTCGTCCAGATGGTGTTCGAGTCGTAGACGTAGCATTTCCGAGTTCATCTCCCCGTCCCACTCGCTAAGAGCCTTCAGATATCGTGGCGCGATCCTATCCTCTCCAGGTAGTTAACCCATTGCGCATGAACGAGGTGGAAGGCCAAGCTCGACTTGGAGGACGGTGTCACCGCTCGGCTTCGAAGAACGAAGGGCGCCCAAGGGCATTCACGCTCGTCCGCGTATTGAGGGGCTAGGAAAGGGTCGAAACGCCCCCAGTTGCCGTCCAGACGCCGTTGTTCCAGCTCACTCGCAAGGAGCTCAGCATCGCCTTCCTTGTTGGCGGCGCCGGCAAAGTACGGTCTCTCGTTCGAATTCGGCGACCAGACCTCCCATTCTCGTCCACCCATCTTGACATCGCGCCCCACATAGCGACGTACGTTAGGCAGGGCAAAGGCGGCTCCCAAACAGCATGCAGGAGGTTCGTAGAACCCGTCCAAGCAATGTAAGCGGGAGGTAGAGTACCGACGAGAATCCTGAGGGTCCGGGAGACGA